GGCCCAGAGTAAACCTGAAACTGTTCTACAAGCCTTTTGAATGCTCACATATTTTTCTGAAACATTCAGAACTACTCTACGCAACTATCTGCTACACATTCAATAGAGCTGACAAGTCTCATTATCCAGTTCCCAGTCCAGGCAATCATGAAATCTGAGTGTTGCTGACATGATCCATTTATATACAATTTTCCTTTAAGGACACAACTTTCCTCAAGTTGCCCTTTAACCAGACACTTGAAGGAAATGAATCAGTACATTTTAACACTTGTGGAATCAGTCTCAGGTTTATTCAAGCTGAATACCGCATCACTTGGCAGACAAATTTGAACGGGCAATTCTGCAGCGTGTTATTAGAATTATACGGCTCTAGCTTTTAAGATCAAGGAAGATTTAGAACTGTCCTATTTTTGAGAGAGCAGAAGTTAGTAATACAAGGTATATCTGATTTACTGGGTTAAACTCTCAAGATGTTATCTATTTTTATGTACACATACAAGTGTTATGCAGCATTTTCAGTCCTGCTTAGTTAGCATTTTCAGGCTGTTATGACAGAAGGTAAGAAAGCAAAGAATGATGTAAAGGTCTTGTGAGTTATTAACAGGAAGATAAGACTAAAATATGCACACATTTATGTAAGTAGTAATACCATGTCTTTTTATCACTGGACAAACTGGACTCGAGCTAAGCAATCTGCCCAGTATCTAAAGCTCTTCATTTTTAAGCAATGGACAGAAGAAGCAGTTTAGGCCATGGGTGTCCAAACTATTGGCTTCCCAGGTTTGCACTGAGTAAACAGGAATTGTTTTGAGCCACATACATATAAGCTGCTCTGAAAGTAACGTCTCCTGTTCATTTCCATGAAACGACATGAGATGCACTAGTGGAAGTGACCCACTGTTGTCACTGCTGAAATGCACCACCCACAGCCTCATTGTGCTGACATCCATTGTTAGGGACTCGATAAACATTCAGCAAGCATCAAAGAATGTCACTGGGTGCCATTTTTTCTGCATGGAAGAATTCAGTGATACACCTTTGCATTATTTGCACTTCCGTGTCAGCTGCCATTATGTCAGACTGCCCCTCTGCATTTGTCCCATGACAACAAAATGCAAGAGAATATTGGTGGGAAGGTTCAACCCCCACTGCCATCCCATCAGCATCTGCTCCTGATGTTCTAGTAGGATACTTGGCCTTGTTTTTGTGAAACTAATGCATCAGTTTGGTTTAAGGGAAGTGGTTGTAAGGTTTTGATCAGAGATTTTTTGTGAATTTTTACTATTTCTGAATTTCATCCTTGACAACAGCTGTTCACAAATGCATGTACTGCCAAAAAGCAATCTCATGAATAAGGTGTGATTGTGAAGCAAAGGACATTTTTCTCTGTCAAGTGGAATAGTCCAGTTCGTCAACCACTCCTCTCAATTGTTTATCATCTATGCACCTTGTCCCACCATCTGAATCATAAATGAAAACATTTTGTTCAGCACTGATGCCAGAATTGAACCCAACATTTGCTACCAGTAATGGGACTGAAGCTGAGTTGCGCTGCTGATAACCCCTCGAACCATGAAGTTCCATTTTTCAGTCCATCTCACTGTTCATTTATCTAGTCCATACTTTATCAGTTTTCCTATAAAGGATATTATAGGAGAATGTGCTGAAAGCCTTGTTGACATGAAAATAAACATATGAGGCTGCCCTTCCCTAGTCCACGAAGCCAATTGTTTCAGAAGGCTAACAGGTTGGTCAAACTGTCCGAATATTTCCCAATTTCCTGAGTACAGGGTTACAATCCTACTGTTTGACTTTTTACTTTCCTCTGTGATCCCAGACTCCACCATCTCACGATTACTACAGGTAATCCTACCTGAAAGTTTCACATTTCTGACCAGATCTTTGCAACTATCAGACTCAACAGGGCATTCTCCATCTGTTGCTTCTTTGATCACCTGTGCCAAGAAGTTATCAGCATGTCCTATTGCTTTCACTCAACTGTATAGCTCTTTTAAATATTTCTGCGGAGGATGAAGACCCCAAAGGGTCAACTGCCCGCTAGCAGAAGACTTTCTCAAGGTATCCAAAAAGGGCCTCACCTTCCTGACCTGGAGGACTGTAGCAGACATCCATTGCAACATTGTCCTCTTTAGTTTGCTTGTCTCAGTTGCTCTGAGATCTGTCCTCAGGCAGAGCCCGCTGAAGTATTATCTGCCAGTCCCACTCCTCATTGTCCTGGCTAGTATGTCGTAAACTGCACAGATCTGTCATCACCTGCAGTTCAGCCATGAGCCATACTGCTACATTTCTATGATCCCAAACAGACTGTGAGCCATACAGCTATACACAAGGACTCTAATTTGTCTTCTTGATACCTTATAGTGCGTGTTAGTTTCCAGACACTTCTGAGTACTTTGCTAGGCTGATTTCCACTAAGAATTGTGAAAGCTTCTTGAATACTACTTATGGAAAATGTTTTAAACAGTGTGGCAAACATCTGGAACAGAAAAAAAAGGCCTTCCAAAGTGTTTGTTCAGTGCATGTCACATTACCACATTCCTCTTAGTAGCACTTCTAATGCTGCTACGCTTAATTTTGTCACCAAAATGAACAAACTCTTTCACAACGTTACACGTGAACATTTCAGAGATATAGCACATCTTTTAATGTTTATCCCCATTCTCCTATTCATTTTGGCTCTTACCTAACACTTCTCTTATGAAATCTAAATCTAAGGTCAATACTAGCAAAGTTCAAATTTTCACATGCAGTTTAGATATTTCAAACTTTTCAGCAACAGCAATAGTTTTTCAAAATAGCCTTTTCACAAATCTTTTCCTGCAGAAACACACAGCGTGAGGTGTTTTTTATGCCTTAGCAAATAGCTCCTATTAAAATAACTTGAGCTAGAAAGAACTTCTGTATTCTAAAAACTTTGAAAGATAAATTGCAGAAGTAATTCACTAACTTCTGAAAACAGTTTCATTATGACTCTGGTCTTTTAAGAATGTCCTTATGAAAGGAGTTTTGATCTCACTGGGCCAACTTCCATTTTCTAGCCCTTTTTTTTTTCCTTCAAAGGTGTGTAAAGATACAGAATCTGCTTGTAATTCATGAGAAGAATTTTATCTACTGGCATAAGAGGTAACCAAGTGTTCCTGTTAAGTATGCATTCCTCCCTCTGTTGCCCCTGCTTGAGAGAAAGCCTTACAAGAGTACACCTGACAGAAAAGGAGACACATACTAGTACCATCCGTCGGATTTTCAGTTCTTTCTCCAGCTAAGCCACTGACATCTTACCACAGACTTAAATGTATAATGGAGCACAGGCAGAATATTAGCCCTTAATATTAGAAAAATTTAAGCAAGAGACTAATGTGTTCATTTCCTTCTATTATGACGTTGTAATATTATGTTAGCGACAGTAAAACAACAGCTGCACTCCACAGGAAAGAATCCTTGTTAAGCAGAACTATCTCTGTACTAGTCAAATGCAACATAATATTCATTAAATAAACACGCTATGGTGTGAACAAACATTTATCTTCAAACATGACCTAGTCTAAAAGTTTGCCTTAGAATGACAACTTACATGTTCCTGCAGAATTTTCTAACATGCTTTGAGGGCTGAAATTCATTAAGTTTCTGAGGGTTACATTCTCATTATTTTGCCAAATTTTCAAAACATCATGCTGTTTTCAGCTTTGTTTTTATGATGGTCTGGCTATTGTCACATTCCTTTAGAATCAGTGTAGCTAAACATGACTACATCTGTATTTTAAAAACAACCAAATTTATTGGTATTGTATTTTTGAACAACCTACCCCAACATATATGGTATCCAATATTTATGTAGTTTATTGCTGCAGCAACTCTATCAGTGCTTCCATGCCTGCTATTCTTCTGTTAGTCTAATACCACTGGCTCATAAACCACCACACATATTTAATTAAATTGTTACAAGAAAATTCCATCTAACAGCAAAGACAATGTACAGAAGGAACTTCATCTTGCTTTGAGTTCTGTTGAGTCCTCATTCATCTCAGAGTAGGCAAGTGGCTGCTACCTGCAGAAAACCACACAGACTCATGTTTGGTGGAATCCATTGCTGTGCTTTGCTCCTAGCAGTGTTTTATTCAGAGCAGCAAATGCCATGACACCCACTAGATTCCCTACTGCCTTGCTGGCACAATCTCTTCCCTTTTTTCTTCCTGTATGAATATTGCTACAAACAACAGCAGCATTAAAAGAAAATTCAGTTAAAAATTTAATATGTATCAAGGTATCTAATTATTCAAGCTGGCAACACTCCTTTCAGGGGCTCTTCAGGTGCAAAGTCACACCGTTCATCTGTCATAAATCTGCACAGCAGTAGCACTACAAGTACCACAATCCAACCCTCCACACATCCTACAAAAGCACTTTTAAGTCAGTGTGGGTACCACCATGCTGCTGCACTCTGTGCAGATAGGAGTTGCTCCTAAGCAGTCCATTCCCAGACACTGGCCTCACTACAACAGCCCCATGGCCCACAGCTCCATGACAGTCCTAAGGCTAGTGCCCAAAAGGGCCACAGACCGCTGCGCTACAAGTCAGTGACAAACCGCAATGGCGGAGAAGGCTAATCCGAAGACCCCGAACCACGCCCTCATCGTTACGTCGCAAACTTCTCACTTAACGCCCAAGGCTACCAACCCGCGGCTGGCATTTCCTAGCGCTCTCGCGAGCAGTAGCGCAAGCCTCGCGATATGAAGAGCCGCGCCCGCCCCTGCTGCTCTTCTCGCGGGATTGCTCCCGCCCCGCTGTGTGGGTGGCAGCGTCGTGCAGGGCCGTGTTAGATCGTGAGGGTGAATCTGTTCGGTCGTTATCGGAGGCTGAGTGAAGGCAGAGCGCTGTAACATGTCCTCAGCAGGCGCGGGATCAGCGTCTGCTCAGCGTCCTAGCGGCTTCCCGCGCCCTATCCCGGCCGTGCCTCGCCGCGGGGTCGGTGAGCGGTGCCCGTCTCTCGGCTGCCCTTGGGGAGCGTGAGCGTCCCGCGAGTCCCGGCCACGCTGCTGGGGTGATCCTCGCCACACCTTTACTCACGTCGGTTAAGATGGGTGATGCGTGGCCAGGTAAGCGGGTTGATGTGGGCTCCCGGATTGCGAAAGAGCGGGTCTGGGTGTCACCGGGTCCCTTGCCCTTCGTTCACAGAGTGTGGGCCGCGGGGCAGAGGCGTCTTGCGTGGGGCAGCTGTCCCACGGGTGTGCTGATAGCCCCTCGCCTCACCCAGCAGCAGAGCGACGCTGTGAGGAGTGCCGTGGTGCACGGCTGAGTGACGTTCCCTTACAACAAATATCCTGTTTTGCATTTCTTCCTTGGGAAAATTGGAAGCGTGTGTTTGAAGTGGACATAAAGTGTAGATGCTGAAGCATCTTTTAGAAGATGCGTCGATTAGTCTCATGTTTAGTGATTTTGCTGCTAGGCTTCAAATTCAGAAAAGATAATGCTTTTCCATTATGGTATCATAAGTTTCCTTTTACAGCAACTTATTAGAGGGTAAAAAACCTTATATTCTTTATTAAGTTGTCAAACCTCAATAGTTAAAAAGCATTTGTGGTAATGTGCTTATTCTGTATAGGAATAATGAAATAAGCTCATCTGTGACTGCAGGCCGTTATCATCATGGTCTGAAATGGTCAATATGTGTCATGGTGCACTTTGTCATATATGGCAACAGACTAGGTATAAGCAGTCATCTTGAATGCCATCTGTTTTCATTGATGGCTATGCTGGGAAGCTGCAATAGATAGATGTCCTGATTTGCAGAGGTTTTATCCTACATAAATGATTGTTCAAAAGAAGATAGTGTAGCAGTTTTTACTTTGGTTTGTACAGCGTTATTTGCCAGAATCTTGTAGTACTGTCATCCTTAATACTGCTGTTTCGCCACTTTTCTTTTTATTCCTCACTTTGTTCCTTCTTTGTTAGTTTGAAATTTGTTATTACAAAGTTTACTCTCCAGTACTCTTTATTCTACTCTGCACAAGTCTTATGCAGCTTATAAAAATAAATGTTAAGAAACAAAGGCTTTGTCATATTAAATCATTAACCTGAATGTTTAAATGCTGTGTGTCACTTCAGATATTATTATGAAAGAGAGAAACAATGAAAATGCTCTCTATTCTAAATTTGGTTTTGAATATTTCGCAGAGATCTGTCTGTTGCTAGTTTTGTTTTTCAATATTCCTTCTTAATTTTGAGAAATTGCCCAAAGGTTTAGATGGTACTGGAAGAAGATCATACGTTTTTTGTGCATGAATTTGGTCATGTTTTTGAGGCAGTACATATACAAATACTTCAAGAGGAGAATAATTGACTGTATTTTGCTGAATATACTGTCTATAATTAACTGTTTGCCTCAAAATGTTATTTTCAGCTTCAGATACTTTGGAGGAGGTATGTAGTGTCTTACATGCAGGGCATAGGGTGTGGGATGAAACTTAGTCTGAGCAAGGATGATGCAGGGATGGAATGAGTGTTCTATGGAGATGTTATTCTAATGGAGTGACTCTAGTTTGTGAGCTAGTTAGTGCAAGAACTAGTGGGCCATTGGTTTGGGCTGCAAGTGTATAGCAGACAAAATCTTGTCGCACATTAGAGAGCAGACCTGTGAGACTCATATATAGTTGGGGGACACCAAGTGCAGGAAAACTGTGTGTGTTGAAGGAAGAACAAAGCTACTAGGAAGAAAGGTTCATTGTTGGTAAATACGGTAACCATACCTGGCCCAGGAAAGCTCCTTACTCATACTTCAAGTCATTCAAAGACACACACCTCAATTCAGATTTTAGGAACTTCACATGTGGTTGATATTTATTGGGCCTGCTTTTTCTGTTGTTGTTTTCCCCCTACAGTGAAGGCCTTGCTTTTTCTGATATTTTGTTGGGTACTTCCTTGTCAGTACAATATGAATTCTTTTAACTCTTATACAGTGCTGGTCTGATATTTTTCTTTCTCTGTTAGCAACACATGCATCATTAAAGATTGTATCAGAAATGTAAAAAGTAAATAAATAAAAGAAGCAGCTCAGTTTTCTCTGTTAGTGTTTGATATGCAGTATTAATGGGGTAAGACCTTACAGAGAAAGAGATTTTAATAGTTGAAGACTTTACAGCTGCGTAAGGAATTCAGTCAGGTACCCACTTTGGAGAAGGACATAGGCAAATACTATCCTCATATATGTTCTTAGAGTACGCTTCTGTTACTTCTGAAATAAGTTTTTTTCTTCCTAATGCTAGACATTATGGGGAGAAATGTGCTTCATACATGGTTGTATTTGTGAAACAACTTAATGAAACTGAAGTACTGCATTCAAGTAGATGACAAGTGCTATCTGTTGTAGACGGTATTTTGAAACAGGTGACATGGTTTATTAATTGGATGCTAACCCTGTCAGTGTGGGCTTGTCAAGTGAAACTTATCAATCAGTGTTTGCATGAGGTTTTTTTCCTGGCAGGCTTTCAGGTATTTTAAAAACAGCAATACAAACACTGTATTGCTTATTGCATTGCAAGTGCCTATCTTGGAATTTGGTTCTAATCAGTAATCGGTATTGTAATTCTAGTGCTGCCTTCAATAGAGCCTTGAAATGCATATAATCTTGAGTTATATGCCTTTCATTAAATGAGTTAGTATCTAATATTTAGGTCAGTGTTTCCAAATGTAATACTTCGTGCATTTGGCCAGTTTTTCATTGTGTTATTTTTGTTGTTGTTTTATTTTGTTTGTTTCCTTAGATAGATGGCATGTTGGGGAGAGATGCCTTGCACCTTGTCCTGCAAATGGAAAGCTTTCTGAAGGAACAATATCATCAATTGAAAAGGACAAGAATGGAAAATCATTTGCTGTTGTATCATTCTTGGGATCTGAAGATAAGAAAATACTAATATCTGAGCTCTATAAAGTTGAAGCTGGTAGATGTTCCTGGAAGAGTGTGATATTTGATGACAGTGACCTGGAAAAGCCTTATTTTCCTGGCCAAAATGTTCCATCTTCAACAGTTGCTTTTAAGTTATCTGATGACGGTGATTTTATCCCATATACGATTAATAGATACCTGCGTGGTTACCAAAGGGAAGGAGCCCAGTTTCTCTACTGGCACTATGCTAATAAAAGGGGATGCATTCTTGGAGATGATATGGGCCTTGGAAAGACAGTACAGGTATTTATTTTATTATAACAACATTGAGACAATAGATTCATTTATTTGCTTTTTGGCAGCATGTTTTCTGTGAAGAGTATTTATTTTCTAAGTTGACTTACTAAATAAAAGCCATATTGTAGGTTTCTCTCTTCTAGCATGAAGTTGGAGGAGGCAGGATGTGGCTGTTTGTAACAATACTTGAGAGGATGGAGTCATTGCTGATTTAAGATGAGCTTCTGACACTCCACAAAACTGGGATGTGATTGTTTGTACTGTAAAGCTTGGTAGTTGTGGCAGTTAAGATTTTAATTAGTGTTTGTGTTATGTTGAATATATTGTATGGATTGATACCCACACATGATGAAAGTAGTTTGTTGCACTGGAGAATGCTACTAGTACATACACCACTTAACAGGTCTTAAAATGTCTTTTTACTCTTTTTTCTTGAAAATGAATAGTTTGACTGTACTTACTAGGAACAAAAAGAAGATGCATGTACTACCCCATCTGGAAGAAGTACTGCGGTGTTACATAATATTTTTATCATTATTGAAAATGCGAACTCTGCTGATGAAGAGACAAAGAATGGCTGAATTTTTTTCAGCCTTTATGCTTTGAATAACTGCAGCCCAATTGATTCACTTATTTTTCTGAAGTAAGGCTGTTTTTACATTTGAAATAATTTTCTTTAATCTGTTTGGCTTGAGTTAGCACCTTGAGTCCTATAACAAATAGTCCTTGTCCAACTCTCGTTGTTCTTCCTTTTTGTGAAATGCAAGCTCATTTCTTTGCTGGTAAATACTGGCTGTAGCATGTCTTGTGCATCCTTTTAGGAGAATGTCAGCTGATAAGACTTCTTCTGTGCACAAATGCTTGTTCTTTAGCAAACTTTACGAGAGAAGTGAGTGAACTAAATTGGCAGAACTTGCCTGAATAGAGCATTTAGAGGAGTATTGTGCGTGTGTAGAGAGCTGCTGCTGATCTGTTAACATATTAGTTATAACTAAACTAGTTCCATTTACCTTGTGTTTCACCTTATCTCAGATGCATTCCTTGTTCATTGCAGCTGAGTGAATCAGTAATTACTCAAGAACTGCAAATATCCAACGTAGTATTAAAAGAAACCTTTGTATAAGGTAAAAAAAATCAGGAGAAAAACAAGCTGTCCTGCTTCCACCTCTTTTCTTGAATCTCATGGCTGATTCTGTGATGAACAGGTCATGTTTGTCACACAGTGGCAGTGTGTTCCTTTGTAGAATTTGCATTTTCATCATAATGTCAAGTTTGTAGAAGAAAAATACAGTTTTTGAATACTGTCTTAAGTATTCCTTTCTGAAAGAGTATTTGCTTTTTTCAAGTGTAGTATGGGTAAGAGCTGAGAAGATATGAAAAGGTGAGTTTACTTGTTTCAGAGATTCCCATGTGTGAAGGAATAAATATTAATTAAACTTCATGGAGAACCAGCTAATCTATTTACAGTCTTTTAGAAAATTTTGCTTTTGCTTATCACTTGGCTGAATATTACAATTTCTAAACTACAGAGTGATGAGAATAAGAATCATTTCTAAATTACAAGGTATCTGAGAAAAAGGCTTTTCTTCAAGATCGTATTGTAATGTACTTTCTACTCTTGAAATTTTTGTTTGTTTGAATTTGCTTTAGTGTGTGGCTGTTTCATTTTGAGTTGTAGTGAAGGTAAGTAGAATAATGTTATGTTGTAATAGGATTGCAGTAATTTAAGGCTTCTTGTCAATGACTTTAGATTGCCTCCTACTTTTATTTGAAAAAGCCAAAAGTTTCTCATCAGAATTGCTCCTTTACAGCCTTTGTTGTTTTTACAAATTTGTGATGCAAATTCTTCCAAAAATGGAAGATGTGAAAAAACATGTAGATTTTATTTTTTGTCCTATTGAGAGTAAGAATAAAATTCAGCTAAACAATGCTGAAGAAGCAACATGTACAAAACTTGCAGCAGCTTCCTAGTGTCTTAGCTTATATGAAATGATATGAGAATTTGAGGGATAGAACATACAGAAAACCACATTAACTTATCCTAATGCTTCCTCATGTAAGATTCATGTGTTTGTCTTTTGTCATTTCCAGGAAAACTGCAGTACATGCCTTATCTCTTCCTTTCTCCTTTATCTTCTATATTGTATTTTTGAGGGTTTTCCTCTTAGAAAATGAAAGTGCAGTATGGAGCAATGAAATGTTTTTATTGTGAACACGGGTTTCTCAGTTAAAAATGAGATCAATTTAAAAAAAAAAAACTGAAATGTGTATTAACAAATGAAATCCTATTCAGGATTTTGTCTGAAATATGTATTTTCAGAGGGACTTACTCATTTTCTGTCGGTATTTTTGTACATAATTACTGAGAGTTGCTTTCTTTCTGAAGGTCATTTCATTTTTGGCTGCAGTGTTACGCAAAAAAGGAACACGTGAAGATATTGAAAACAACATGCCAAAATTTTTACAGAGGACAGTGAAAAAAGAATCAAAATGTAACCCTAACAAGGTACAGCTTTTTACTGATAAAACATCAAGAATTTTGGTAAAAAGCAAGACTTGTTTTGTTGTTTGTTTGCTAGCTTTTGAAGTTAATATATACTGATTTTCAGTGTTTGGTTAATTTAACATGAAAAGACAAATGCAACTCCTGGTTACCATTGGTATTTTATGTTATTGGAAATTTGAGTGGCAGAATGATTGTGTGACTGTGAAAAAAATTGTTCCTTTGTAAATTCAGGCAAAGAGGAAGGAAGAGATGAAAGGATATCACTTAATGTGAAAAAACATGAGTGCTTCTGACTGGCTCTAACAGAAGAAGTAGTTTACTTCAAGGACAATTATGTACTGGAACAGGTAGCAAAGAGAGGCTGTGGATCTTCCATCCTTGAAGGATACTATAGACTTGAGTGAGAGAAGTTCTAACTGCTTAAATTCAGTGCTGCCCCTTCTTTGATTGGAAAGCTGGACTAGAAACTGATTTTATTATTCTGTGATAGTGTTGTACAGGTTGTCTTAAATTTTTAAACTTTTTTTGATATCTTTTCTCATGCATTGACTAGAATTATGGCTCAGAGGAACTTCCTTACCATTATTTTTTCCATCTCTAAAACATTGAATGGTGTAATAGATGTTATAATAAAGCAGTATGGTAGTATATGATGTCTTACTGCAGTTCGCTAAAATACCAGTGTAACTTTGGATACTTTGTATAGCATTAGTGTATTTCTTTCTGTAGTATTTACACACTCTGTAAACTCATTACTTCTAAATTTATATAAATATTCAGGTATTTTCTATACTGTGCTTTGAAGCAACACAATTTAATAATTCAGACTATGGAGTAATAAGATAAATCTCAAGGTTATGACTTTTCATATTGAGAATTTCCACATTGATGAAGTGCTGAGCTGTAGATCTTCCAGTAAGACTGTAACAGCTATTTCATATATTTCAGACTTTCCTCATAGTTGCCCCTCTTTCAGTGCTGTATAACTGGAAGGATGAGTTGGACACATGGGGGTACTTTAAGGTCTCTGTCTTACATGGCAGTAAAAAGGAAGATGACTTGAATCGTATCAAGCAAGGGAAATGTGAAGTTGCCCTTACAACATATGAGACTCTTCGCCTGTATTTAAATGAACTTAACAAGTAAGTATTACTCATTGCATTGCAGAAGAGAACTATGTTTGTTAATTTATTAATTTATTAAATTCCTAAGTCCTAAAAATAAGTCCTCCTTTGTTTGTCCTATAGCTGCCAGTATTTTAAAACAGAGGAGCCCTTCCTTTTGTTATGCTTAAGAATACTTAACCCTTCACTTAGCAAAAGAGAATCACTGGGACTGTTACATCTTGGAAATAGATAAAAGCTGCATGAACATTTCTGTTAGCTGGTAGAGGCAGAATGCAGTAGCTAGTGTTGCGCTTGATCTTGCAGTGTTCCAGTGGTAGGTGATTGAAAAGGGTCATGAACCTCAAAAGAGTGTCTTACTGTTTTGAATAGTCATCACCAGTAAAAGTCTGATCTCCAACTCTCTTTGTGCTCATCTGAAAAAGAAGTGCAGATAGGAGACGTTAAACAGCTAGTGGCTGGAAAAGAAGTGCATGTGCACAGCCTGTGTCAGTGCAGCAGGACTTATGTGTGAATGAATGCACTGCTTCATTGTAAGGATTTAACAAACTCAATATGCGAAGCATTTATCCATGTAGGCATACAGTGTTCATCGAACAGTCTTAAAGGCTGTGCATTTTGCTTAGATAGAGTGACGAGTAGGACTCAAACTGGTCTTTAATTGTAATTAATAATTAGCAGATTTTAACAAGATCATAAACTCAGATTTGATTGAAAGTAATTAACAGGCATCATATGTGATTACCAGATCAGTTTTCAAAATAGTCATCTAAAATTCATGAAACCCAATCAGGGGAGAGATTGTTTTTTCTAAACATGGCTGCTGCAAGTAACGTTAGCGTAGAAATGAACTTGTTCTGAAATATTCGTGCATATCATAGAATCACAAATTGGATTGGAAATGACCTACAAGACAATCTAGTCCAACCGTCTCCTCATCACCATTGCCACCACTAGCACTAAACCATATCACGCAGCACGTCATCCAGATGCCTCTTGAACGCTGCCAGGGACGGCAACTCCACCACCTCTCTGGGCAGCCATTCCAGTGCCTGACCACTCTCTGAGAGAAGAAGTTCTTCCTTATGTCTAAAATATAAATAAATATAAATAAAATATAAATTTAAAATATAAATAAATAAAAATAAATATAAAGCTGTCTCATAAATTTGTTTCTTCCTAGGGACTTAGTTATTTAAAATTCACAGAATACAGTTCATTTTTTCACGAAATTTGTACTTGATCTGCTTGCAAAGTATCTTTCAATCTCTACTTCTAACCATGATCCTCTTGGTTTCAAAATTGCAAAATATTAGAATACCTTCACAATATTGGAATCATACCGGTCTTGAAGTAATTGAGTAATGCTTTCAGATAGTAAACTACCATTAGAAATGCTTTCAGCATATTTTTATCTGGATGGATATTGTTAGGAAATGCAAAACACAGCTGTGCTAATCATGGTTCAGAAGCACACATTAAGAGATTTATATTGTTATTCCAAATCTTACTTATGAGTGGGATTATGAGCTGATAAGGTGTGTGTCCAGAAATGAAAAGCTGCTTTCGTCACAGAAAATATTTGATGCAGTTGACAATAGTTCATCTATTTTATTGTGTAGCTTAGCCATTATAATTAAATTTACTAAGCAGACAAAAAAGTGGGTAGTGCAATGTATATGAAATAAGAAAGTAAAAATAAGTACTTTTTTTTTTGTTGTAATAATCAAGACTGTACATGTAACTGATGTCAGTCTTTGTATATGTGAAGTGATAAGTAATTCCAATTAAGGGAGAATATTTTTTCTTGCTATGAAGTATAGAGTGGTCTGCCGTCATAGTGGATGAAGTACACAGAATCAAGAATCCAAAGTCTCAAATAACTCAAACTATGAAGTCCTTAAAATGCAGTGTTCGCATAGGCCTTACTGGAACCATTCTTCAAAACAATATGAAAGAACTTTGGTGTGTCATGGACTGGTAAATAAAATACTTTTTTTTTTTTCCTTTTGTTTATCTGTGTTTACTAAGCATGCCTTCTTCCCCTCCCTTTCTCCTTTCCCCCCCCCTACCCCCTCTGCGCCTCCCACACACACAAAAGAAAAGGTCTGTTGCATAACTTTGGACAACATTGTGCCTTTGTTTTCTCCAGTATGTGCAGGTCATTCTGACTTACTTGGAAGTAAAAATTTCTTGCTAGTCCAGAAACATTGATTGTAAGCCAAAACAATTCATAGTATGCTTTTAATCATTGGAAAAGCATAGGTAGCCTTGAAGATGTTGCAATTCCCTCATAACCAACCCCTACCCGATGTTTTATTTTTATTTTTATTTTTATTTTGGTTTTTATTTTTATTTTTATTTTTGTTTTTATTTTTATTTTGGTTTTTATTTTTATTTTTATTTTTATTGTGGTTTTTATTTTTATT